GACGCGCTGTTGAATGGTGCTAAAAATGGCAAGACTCACTGATGATGCCGAATACGATGCCGGCAAAACGTCTGGGAATGTACCACGTCCACGGTCCTACTCTGGAAATGATGATGCATACTCCGGACTAGGTGAGTTCCTCTAAGTCTTCCTACCAATATGATCATGTTGCGAAAACAAGGTCAAACAACCTCCATAGTTTCAGTTAGTTTGCAGGAAGTTGGGCATATTCACTTTTGTGAATCCTTCGTAGTTCTCACTGTTCTTTCATAGTCCCCGTTCTGCCATCAACTTTTTACGGCCCGTATGTTTCTTTCTATCACTTCGCCAGGTTAGCCATTGCCGAGGAATCTCCTCGTCAATTTGTCCAGCTCCTCGTCCCAGAATTCTACATCCGTTAGGCTTAGGTTTCAGATTATCAGGCTCATTATTCCAATCTTTAGTCTGTAATTGTGATGGGACAGAAATTTGAGTATTGTCCTAGCATAGGACTTCTTTCTGAACAATTTCTTTTTTTGCGTCCAATTACAGCGAATCACTTCAATGTACAGGAACGGTATCCGTTCACCTTTCTCTACTTACATCGTAAATTTGATTTTTTCATCAATATGGTTTACAAACTTTAGAAACTCCTACAGTTTTTCTCTTACATGTGACCAAAGCACGAAATAATCATCCAGTTACTGCATGAGTACTGCCAGTTGTAGAGGCGCCATCTTGAAGCTCTCTTCTACTTTGTTCATGTTTATGTTTGACAACCCTACCACTCGGATAAGCTTAGTGAGTGCCTCCACCAGGCTTCTATACATAAATTAAGTGAGACCTATGGTACTAAACGTTATAAGTTGTTTAAATTTATAGATATTAAGTCAAATATATTGCGCGATTTAGCCCGGATCCTGTCTCCGGAAGATTTTTAAAAACTCCGGTGCATGACTGACATGAAATATCGTAGGATTTCTGACTCAATTTTTAATTCAATATCACAGAACCTCCTAGGAGACATCCTGGTTGAGGTTATCAATATAGATGAGGAGACAAAACAGGAAATGGAGATGTAACAAATTCCAAAGCTATTGACACATCAGGGGCCTACACACTGGAACAGATTTGCCGCGATACGCAAAAGCAGGGAAACGAATCAACAATTAGTCCCTTAGGCGGACAAAGGAGGAGCTATAATGATAATGGACAAAAATCAAAATACATAAAAGATGGAACATATTATACACGACAGGACCACATATCGTATACTAAGCAAGGACCCAACTATGAAAGATTCACAAAAGGGATATGCCTACCTTCTTGCGAACTAACTCTAAAACTATGGCCATTATTGAGTAAATGGAATATTCAGGTGGCCATGAAAGAGAAATCAACACTTTTAACAAGTCTACAAACGCAACATAAAAGCGTTAACAAATTGGATTGTTCAGAAGTTTACAGTATATCATGCGGCGCCTGCAAACAGAAATATATTGGCTTAACAGGGAGAAAAATTAGCACACGAATCAAGGACCATCATAGGCTCTGCAGGAAAATGGATACTGAACAATCAGAACTAGTGGAACACATCGCACAGACTGGACACGAGATCGACTGGAAAGCAACAAAAGAAGAGGCCTATTTTTTAAAAACACAAGGAAGTGGAAGATTAGGGAGACCATTGACATATTTGGGCAGAAAAATCTAATGAACAGGAGATTGGAGGAAGGAAGAGTTAGCGATAACTTTGCCTACTGCCTAAGCGAATTCGGGGGAAACAAGAATAGAGCAAGACCAACAAAAAGGAGTCGTCTGGATCAAGGATCTACCGCTAAACGGAGGAAAAGTGGTTGCGATGAAGAAGGTGGAGGTAAGGGGTTTTCGGCAATAAAGCGAAGACTTTATCAGTGAGTGATGTCCATTTCGAAGAATCCGATACAATTTCTGGAGTGCATGTAGTGAAATTCACACACGGACTGAAACCCTGTAAAATCGATCAACCAGAAAAAAAGGGATTAATCTTAGAGACAATTAGGGCATCCGGATTGGAGGCCCGATTCGGATCAGCCGATCGAAAGAGAGGGTCTGGGTTAATAGCAAGTGTGATGAGGCCACACTAGATTTGCCACAAAAGGGCACACAGTTTGACGAGTGGAATATAAACAAGTCAGAAGTTGTAATAGAGCTGCAGTTGGATAAGAGGGTAAAGAGTAGATAGATAGGCCAGGACGGAGAAAGGAGTGATAATGTAACCGTTTCGACAGAACGTTTCTCGAGGGATTGGCTTCACTCGTCTCTGACGAGTTCGCAGCTTGGTGCGGAGATCGCAAAACTCACTGATGATGCCGATTACGATGATGGCGAAACGTTTGAGACTATACCAAGTACACTGTCTGATGCTGGGAATCATGACAACTGCTATGGCAGACGACTTAGGATTAGGTTCATTCTACTAAGTCGCCCTGACAACAAGACCAAGTTGCAACAACGAGGTCAACCTACTTATATAACTCATATAATTTAGATAATTGGGTTATTTTTAAGACAAAATTTTTAGATAACAGAATATAGCTTTCATGAAAGCATTCGCATGAGAACTGATAGTAATCTCATTTGATTAAATTCTTAAAGTCCTTTACAATCCTCCAAATGCTAAGAATAAAGAGATTTTCCTTTTGAGAGAGTATTAGATTTTAGCACTTTTACAGCTGATTTGAAGCTAGATTTATAAGACTTATATTCCTATAGTTTTCTATCGTTTTATCTTTATCCTAGATTTAATCTTTTTACGTGTCTGATTTAGTGGGGTCGTGAACATTTTATGCTTTGCCTCCATATGCCTCTATCTTCCTCCTTTAAGTTTGGCTTAAAGTGCTCTGTCTAGATTGCACTAATTTTTACGTGCCTAAAGAAATATTTAATCATAGAGGCTCTTTTACTCTGATACATTTGACGGTTGTCTTCTAAAAAGTCTAGATTCTTATTTTTACGTCGATACTTAGAAATTTGTCTCAACAATAATTATAACCTAACAAGACGGAAGAATTGCTTTTTCTTTAATCTAAAGCTTTTTTCTTACATATTGCATTGGCCGCTTTCTCATAAATCAAACCTAACTCTGAGCCAGACTCTGTCATTTGCAGGGTATTACATGTCCAAGTTCACATTAGCCTGTATTTATTTTGAGCCAGCCAAGCACAAGAAAATAGCGTTCGGCTCATTTAATTCTTTCATTTATCCGATATTATATGATTAAATTAAATTGTATGAAATTCACTCAATCATTTTTTTTATTTTTTCTGATAATGTAGCGAAATTGTGAGTCAACTCTTCAATTCTGCTTCAAGGCATGCCGCAAATCTCGTGGATCGACTAATTGTTGATGCCGACCGATCTCTGGCACAACAGTCTTTTAAAATCATATCAGCTTTACTTGAGTAAGTTACAAACTAATTTAATGAATCTGAAATCTTGGAAGAGAATCTTTGTCTTACAACCAATAATTTGATGCTTTCACCCCTCTTTAGTTATATTTAATTGCCTCTGTTTATCTTTTCGATTATATTGTTAAGTATTAAGCTGATTTTTGTAAAAGATGTTATTAAAATTGACATTGTTTATAATAAAAGATAAGCCTTGGTTCTCATTAGATTCTTTTTACTTAAATTTTATCATATACGACGACAGCAGGTTTCGTATGTGATAGTCTGACTTGGGTCTTTTCATTACAATTAGGCTGTCCATATCGTATTTTGCCAAACCCAAATAATAAATAGCATGCGAGGCTTGGTGTAACTTAGGAAATATGATCACCTCTGAAATCCAAGGATAAAATGTCCATGAATTTGTTATTAAAAGAAATACGAACGCTAAACTGTTCATAAATTTTCTTTATGTTGGATGCATATATTCAGGAATGACTTATATTACCATCGTTTACTTCCTAACTGAGGAAAAGATGCTGAAATGTCTTCTGATCATCTTGATTACCCCTAGTATTAAAACATTTCATTTTTTGTTTTATGGACAGCATTGGAAACTTGTGCTGGGCTACAAATTAGGACTCCAATCTCACCCTATTACTTAATAAAAAATGGTTCAAGGCATATATTCTCCAGCTATGAAAATGGCCTTAAATATGCGTACTCGTCTCGTTGGGAGGCGAATCTCGGTAGATCTACTAATTGATGCAGGTCCAGGCTTGAAATGTAGATCTAATTAATAGTCAGAGTGTATGACTGAGCGTGCAAGTTATTTCAATTTCATTTGCAGGAAGATGTTTGCTGAGAGATGTGGTGCATTCCCTTTAAGCTGGTTGGGCTGACAATATTGTGATTGGTCGAGCGACAGTTAAAACGGAAAGAGTGTAGGATTTGAGCAATTAGTGTGGCATGACCTCAAATAATAAGTTTTGAGCTTACTTCCATTTCGAGTGAAAATGCTTTGCTCACTTCCACCAGAAGATGACGGCCGATTCCTCTTGACCAGCTTCCGATTGGCTTTACTAGAACATTTATGTTGATGCTGTTTCCGAGATAATTTTATTCATCGTTTGTTATACGACGAACATCATCAGATCAAGATATCATCTTTACAACAAAATTCAAGCTAAAGAGTCAAGAAAACTCACCGGCAAATCCTTGAAAAGCTCTTTATATACTCTCGTTTTTCTCGAATCGAAGGAGATTACCTCGGCAACAGCGTCAACATGAATGCTCCAGTAAAGCCAATCGACAACTGGTCAAGAGGAATCCGCCGTCGTCTTCTGGTGGAATCGACCTTCGAATCTATTTACCAAACACTTTCACTCGAAATGGAAGTAAGCTCAGCAATTATGAAACAAGAGATTTCTTGAAATTGAACTTTTCTTTGCATATACACAAATAATAAGTCGGTGTTAATTGATAATTATTTATTAACTAAGTAAAATCATTTATAAAAATCTTACCATATATGGTAATGAATAAATAAAAGGAAATAATCCAGTAATCTATAAACCACCACTCTGTAGGTAAATCCTCTGACTATTTTCCTTCATTTTTATGTATTGATACACTATTCCAAACTCCATTTACTATTTTCAATTGACTTTTATCATATTCATGCTCAATATCTTTCTCTCATACTTGCCAATTTCCCCTCATCAATTATTATCTCTAAGCTATCGGGCTGATTTTGTTAAGCATGAAAGTTCCTGACAAAGAGATTCCTTTACTGATCTCAACAGAAGATGACTGCTGATTCCTCTTGCTCTGCTGTTGTATGATTTTACTACCACAATCAGGTAGACAAAGTCCACGAAACCACCTATCTGGTTTCCAGTGAACACGGGTTGAGATTTCCTCTTTTATGCCACATAACAAGCATCTTCACAGTTCATATTCTTTCTTGAAGAGGCTTCCAGTTAACACTAAATCAAAAAGACCAAAAACGTAGTCCCCCTAGGCCGTTTAACGTGATTTAAGGAATGCTAGCTTAGTTTTTTCTCATTGAGCTAAATGGGCCTTGCAATTCTATTGAATTCTTCTTAGCCTTGTCTTCCTAAATGCTATCTCATGTAGAATGAACGGCATTTTCTAGGGAAAACTAGCCGGCTCTTCATTTCATGCTTTATATACTCATTAATAAAAGCAAAAACGTAGATATATTTAAATATACCATTCTGGTATTCGGATGAGATTGACCTAAGAATCCCCTCATCTGGCATTAACACGAAATTGAAGTCACCACAATGCCGCTTCAGGATATTAATCGAAACTCACTCTATATATCTAAGTTAACTGGGCTCCCTAAAGTTTCCTTTTTGACTCTCGCTTTAAAAATTGACTTTAATTTCTGGTACTTTTCGAGTTTTGTACTTTTAAATTTTTCACCCATGCTGCTCAATTCACAGTCTTGATTGATATCATTTTTGGAGCAATAGTGGTTGCATTCTGCTTGCTTAGTCAGCTTTTGAGATCGAACTATTTTACTATCGGTTAACTATAAGGATACATTCGGCGTCTATTATTCGGAATATTTGGTTATTTTTTATAGCCTAATTACTCTTGTTTCTGCTGCTTTTAATAATGCCTTCAGGTCCTAACGTCTTTTTCATACAACCAACTAAGAGAATAAGGGCTGATATTCTGAGTATTGAATCTACCTAAGAGAGATCTACTCTAAAAACTACATCTTACGTCGCTTCTTTATGCAGAGGCCTAACGAATTCTTCCATTTACTATTATCCCAAGATTATTTTATTTTATTTTATTGTTACTATTTAGGTTTTGACTATTTATTTAGACTAGCAGCCATTCACTAAATCACCTACTGACTGCCATATGCTTATTTCCTTATTTTCTTGAACAGCCTTGAGTTTTCATGGACATCTTCTAGAGTAAAAAATCAGCCTTCCACCCCACTCTCTCAGCCATTGCAGTTTATTCGCGCTCTACTTGAAGACGGCTTGCTCGGTGTTAAGCTCTCGACATATACCTCCAAAGATTTAAATCAGGAAACTTGCCTCGAAACCCTGGATCACTCGGTTGGGCCCAAGAAGAGTGATAACGAAGAGGCTTTTTTTGGTATTCCTGATCGTCTACCTCGACTTCTGGCCTTAGCACGTTGCTCAGCTGGGCTCGGTGCTTGTTTCGGCCTTATCGATCGTTCCCTACGTCTTCTATCCAGATGGAATACTGGAATTGGCTTAACTCATCTCGCACATTCGGAGCACTGCAATGTATCTGAGGGGCATGGACCAGAAGTTGAGCCAAATATCTTTGCAATTACTGCAGCAGCAGGGGGGATGGAAACAACAACGAATACATTATTCAGTGTAGATGGTGTTTTGCTTTGGATGGCTCTTCAATTAGCGCAGCGGCAGACCAAACTGCAGCAGAGCCGGGTCCTAGCTGGCCAGGCCAAACTTGCAGCAGGCATTCTTTACGAAAAGTGATTTAATCTCCCATTTTGCACCCTAGGCCTTTTTTTAATGTTGTTCAAAATTAAACTTAAGTGTATTTTTAATGAATAAACCTAATTGCAGCAACTTAATCGTGCTGTCAGGGGGCCTTGATAAATACACTTTATCTGGAGTCCTCTATCATAGTAGTCAGGATAATTCCCAGCTTCGGATCACTGACTTGGTAAATTTTCAGACGTTTCAAACCTTAATGAGCTTTGCCATTCTTATCACTAAACTAAAACTTGTCGAAGAAACAAGTAAACTCCAGCCCTAGAACAACTTTCTGCTGAACAGTTAAGGCTTCACTTTATTTATTATTTAACTGTTTGTAATTACCATTTACACTAGGTGAAGCAACAATTATGTTTTTTTAGAAGTTGTTTGACTTTGTTTTCGCAACTTAGTCATGGTGGTAGGAAGACTTATAGAAACGCACCTTGTCCTGACTCCATTGTATGCATAATTATTTCCAG